GGTATAGTAGTAGTAGTAGTAGTAGTAATAGCAGTAGTAGTAGAAGTAGTAGTAGTAGTAGTAGAGGTAGTAGCAGTAGTAGTAGTAGTAGTAATAGTAGCAGTAGTAGCAGCAGTAGTAGTAGTAGTAGTAGTAGTAGTAGTAGTATCAGTAGTAGTAGAGGTAGTAGCAGTAGTAGTAGTAGTAGTAGTAGTAGTAGTAGTAGAAGGTAGTAGCAGTAGTAGTAGTAGTAGTAATAGTAGCAGTAGTAGCAGCAGTAGTAGTAGTAGTAGTAGCAGTAGTAGTAGTATCAGTAGTAGTAGAGGTAGTAGCAGTGTAGTAGTAGTAGTAGTAGTAGTAGTAGTAGTAGTAGTAGTAGTTGTAGCAGCAGCAGTAGTAGTAGAGGTAGTAGTAGTAGTAGTAGTAGTAGTAGTAGCAGTAGTAGTAGTAGTAGTAGTAGTAGTAGTAGTAGTAGCAGTAGTAGTAGTAGTAGCAGTAGTAGTAGTAGTAGTAGTAGTAGTAGTAGTAGCAGTAGCAGTAGTAGTAGTAGTAGTAGTAGTCTCAGTAATAGTAGTATTAGTAACAGTAGTAGTAGTAGTAGTAGTAGTAATAGTAGTAGTAGTAGTAGTAGTAGTAGTAGTAATAGTAGTAGTAGTAGTGGTGGTAGTAGTAGTAGTAGTAGTAGTAGTAGTAGATAGCATCATAATCATCAGTGTTTATATACTTAATATATGCAGGTATGTTGAAGGTCAAAGTATAATATAGTGATGGCTCAGTTGGTAGAGCGTGGTGCTTGCAATGTCGTGGGTTCAAGTCCTGATGGGGCAATTTTTGTTTCTCCAAAAAGTACGATCTTTGTCCCCATGTGCAGTTGCAAACCGTAGTCTGGCTTTTTATATGGCGGTTCTGGAGCAGTGGCTTCTTCCTTGCTGAGCGGCCTTTCAGGTTATGTCGATATAGGACTCGTTTTACTGTGGATATAGATACTTTTCTACCTGTTTCCTCCAGCATCTGCTGTTGTTCTGGGATTGATTTGCACTTTTCGCACCAAAGTACGTTCATCTCTAGGAGACAGAACGCGTCTCCTTCCTGAGCGGTATGACGGCTGCGTGATCCCATGGTATTTATACTAACGTACTATTGTTTGTACAGATGAACATGGTACCTTCAGGCGTTTGGAACAATTTTTTTCTTTTTTTCTTTTAAATATTTTTTTTTCTTTTATATTTTTATATTTTATATTTTTTAATCCTTTTTTTTTTTTGGTCTTTTTTTTTTGGGGGGGGGGGGTGGATCAGCTTAATATTGCAGATAGATTGTATCTTCTATCAATGTAATTGTCTGCATCACTTCCAATCCCCCATTTTTTTTTATATATATATATACTCCCCTTTATTACTTTTCAACCCCACCATCCTTTCCCTAAATTAGTAAATTAGTGAACAACAATGCCCAGGCCTCTACTTCCGGTCTATACTTACTATCTACACCTTATGGACAGAGTTAATTTTACAATAATTCTATTATATATATATATATATTTATTTATGTATTTTTTTATTTATTTTTTATTTTTTTGCTCCTGAACTTCTTCTACTCTCAACCTCTCCGATCATTTTCATGATGTCCATCCGGTTTGCTTCTATATGCCATATCTTTCTAACTGTGCTCTTTCCCAAAAGCTCCCAACATACAACCTATATACTTATTATGGACACAGTATGCTTACGTTATTAGCTATCTTTGTTATTATTTGTTGTTATTTGTTATTAGTCCCATCCTTCAACTCTATTCAACACCTCCCATCTATCTCTTAACACCATCCATATAGGATTTCTATTTGCCATATATATTTCAACCGTACTGTGATGTTTTACAAAAGTTCTGAACCTTTCTATTCTCATTGCTTCTACAGATTGTGAATTAAAAATAAACATTTTTGCTAAAAGTATTATTATATTATTGATTGATTGACTATGACTTTTCAGATCACCCAGTAATGCTATCTGCAAGGTTAGTTCCAGGTAAATATTGCAATCCTTTAGCCATTCCTGGACCTGTGTCCAAAAACAAGCTACAAATGGACAGAACCAAAACAAATGATCTAATGATTCTGTCTCTTCACAGCAAAATCTGCAGAGCTGGGAAGATTGTATTCCCCCATATAAATAACCTTCTATTGGTAGCAAGAATTTTATATAATAATTTAAATTGAAAGATTCTAATTTTTGAATCCGGTGTCATTTTGCGTGTCAGTTCATAAACACTATGCCATGGGATCGGTACGTCAAAGATCTCTTCCCAACTATTTTGCAATCTATATGGGACGGCTGTCAATCCTTTGGTCCTTAAGTGAAACTGATATACTTTTTTATTTATCACAGTTTTCCTTAACCAATTATGTTCTTTAATGCAAGGCCGACAGACAAGTTCCTTACTTTCTCCCCCTTCCACTTTCCTCTTCCACTTTTGCGCTAAGGCTGCAATTATTTGGTTGTAATTTTGGGTAGAGCAGATATTTCCATATGTTTTTGTTAGCTGCATGTGCGACATAACTCCACCAGTCCTACCGATGATATCATTTACGAAGATTATACCTTTTTTAAACATTCTGTCAAAAAATAAAGTTTTTTTGTCAATTAGTATATTTGAATTTAACCACAATATTTGTTGCATTATTTGTTCTGTCATTTCTGGAGGATTAAATTGAAATTGCAACCAACTTTATATGGCTTGTTTTAGAAATAGTGACATTTGGGAGATTATTTCCTTTTCAAATAACTGAAAGTGAGAGGTTGTAATCTGAATAAAGGGAAAAAGGCCTTTCTTGAACATTGGGTGAGACAATCTTACTAATTTGCTTGAGAACCAGTTCGGATTTAAGTATAACTTTTGTATGACTGAAGCTTTCAGTGATAGGTCTAATGCTTTAATATTTAATCATTTCTGTCCTCCGAAGTCATATTCATTATATAAATATGTTCTTTTAATTTTGTCTGGCTTGCCGTTCCAAATAAAATTGAATATTTTTTTCTCATATCATTTAAAAAACTGTTCGCTAGGCGTAGGCAAGACCATAAGCAAATAGGTAAACTGGGATAATACTAAAGAGTTAATCAGGGTGATTTTTCCACAAATTGACAGGTATTTTCCTTCCCATGGTAGTAAGATCTTATCTATTTTTGCTAACTTTCTATTAAAACTTATTGAAGTGAGATCATTTATTTCCTTTGGGATATGTATTCCGAGTATATCCACATCACCATCAGACCATTTTATTGGTAAACTACATGGTAATGTAAAAATTGTATTTTTTAGTGATCCAGTGATTTAGTAAGGCGTTTGGAAATTGCTCCCAAGGATGAACCAGACTTGTGGAGGTCTACCATTTTTTTTCTGAGGTCTTGGCTGATTTCTTTTGATTTTCCCATGATGTCAAGCAAAGAGGCACTGACTTTGAAGGTAGGCCTTGAAATACATCCACTCAAATTATGTCAATTAGCCTATCAGAAGCTTCTAAAGACATGACATAATTTTCTGGAATTTTCCAAGCTGTTTAAAGGCACAGTCAATTTAGTGTATATAAGCTTCTGACCCACTGGAATTTTGATACAGTGAATTATAAGTGAAATAATCTGTCTGTAAACAATTGTTGGAAAAATTACTTGTGTCATGCACAAAGTAGATGTCCTAACCGACTTGCCAAAACTATAGTTTGTTGACAAGAAATGTGTGGAGTGGTTGAAAAACGAGTTTTAATGACTCCAACCTAAGTGTATGTAAACTTCTGACTTCAACTGTATATGCAGGTATGTTGAAGGTCAAAGTATAATATAGTGATGGATCAGTTGGTAGAGCGTGGTGCTTGCAAGGTTGTGGGTTCAAGTCCTGATGGGGCCATCCGTACGAAAATGTATGCCCTACTGTAAGTCGCTTTGGATATGAGCATCTGATAAATGTCATGTATATTCTACCATATTATAGCACATTGACATCATGAAAGGGAATCCCACATCGTTCTGGTTTACAAGACTGGCCTGCGTTTAATGTTTTAATCAATATCCTGACTGGTCTAATACCATTCCCCATGTAGAACACTATGGAGACCAGGAAATAAATATGGGAGACACTGATTTAGCTCTGCTTAAGGGCCATTGTTGAATAATTAGCCACGATAGTTATTTTACTGTAAATAAAATCCTTGAATAATCAATTTGGTTCCCGTTTCCAAACTGATGTGGTTATCTGATTAGCAATGAGCATCCATAAACTATGGAATTCTTCCCAGTGGATAGGAAGCCTACTGTATGTTTAAATGAATGTGCCCAGCTATAAAATTGGTACTGGAAAATAACTAGTCCAAAGCATAACTTAGTTAATTATGCCATTGATTGTCATAAAACCTCGTATTTTGAATGTGAATGAGAAAAGAGACAATATGAACATTTCAGAATGTTTTATTTCATTATTAAATAACAAATCATTAGAACAATATAAATAAATAACAAGTTAAATAATAAACTTCATAGAATATTCTTCATAAATAAATAGTTTAGCAAAATATTAGTCTCAATATCAAGTACTAGGCTTCCACAAAGTAAATCATAGTATTACAAATATCACTTCAATACTGTAGGCCTATACGTTTTGGCCATACAGCTACCAACATGTTAGGGTGCTAAGTTTGACTTTTACAGTACATCATTGCAAATGTGAACCTAAAATATAATTCAAGTTTTTCTATATTCAAGTTTGAGTCCAGTATTGTAACAGTCAGCCAGTCAGTCCTTCAAAATTGTCCTATAAGTAACATGTTCTTTCTTTCGCTTCACTCGCCATCTCCAAATACAGCAGCTACTGCAGGCTACTCTGGTGAGGCTTCAGCAAGCGCCTTGATGAATGAGCTCCCGGCCTGGCAGCGCCCGGACAGAGGCAGCTCGCTCACTTTATCCAAACCAAAGCCCTTGAACCCGGCTCCGTCTTAATGCCAAGGCTTGAGCTGAAAAACCAGTTCAGTTCTTTCAATTCTCAGATCCCAGTCTGTGATAAACTGCCGGGTAGAGGAAGGCTACCACGTAGCTGTTCCTTGTGCTCTGCTTGTGCATGCGATTCGTCTCGGCATCCCAGCTGGGACACGTTGTATTGACCAGCTTGCTCCAGGTGTTGTCACTCTGCTCACCAACAAGTTGATCCTGACAGTTGACAGAAGAGAGCTCGTTGGAGACACTGTCTGTGAGTTGACGCGCCTGTTCCTCTGCTGACTGGAACCGTAGCTCCTTGTATGGACCAAAGGACGCCTCCTCGTGTACCTCGGCGGCAAGGCTCTCGGCGCTGATCGGTGTCTCGATGCAAGCATCCTCGGTGTAGATCTGAAGGAACAGTACCAGGCACAGAGCAACGAGCCAGCGCTTGGCAGCGCTCTTCTCGGCAGGTGGAAGGTACTTTCGGACATTGGCTGGGTACTGTACACGGGTGTTCTTCTTTCGCTGGCGCACTGGCGTATAGCGCAGTGGCTCTTGAGCTGGGATCCGCTCAAAGGTGAAGATTTCTGGCTCTTTGCTCCGCGGCATCGCCCTGTAAGCGAACTGTTCTTGATAATTATTAGTCGGAATTGACAATACCAAACTATTCGATCGTGTATACATCTTTCTTGTTTGTCGAGTTCTCTTCTCGTCTAGTTGTAGTTCGTTGAATGATTTTTCTATCGCTGGCGCACAGGTTTATATAGCCTATTCTAGTTTTAAGTTCTTTTTTTAGATACGCCCATGCCAATAGAAGCCACACCCAAAGTGGGAGCCACTGCTTTCACATTGCTCAATGGAAAAGTACGATTTTCATAATTTTCTGTGTTTTTTATAACGATGTATATGCATATAGTTCGTGTTGTTCTTTCCAGAAACATGCCATGTGTAATTATTTCAAGTCAGCAAATATTCTCAATAGCTACATGCAGATAGGGTTTTTTTAGGTCCCAAAAATTGTTTTAAACTTAGCTATATTTGATCAAGCAATGAATAGTAACCATGTTGATAGCAACATAATAGACTAATGATAATGACGATAACAGACTAATAGCTTAACAAAAACAACAACAACAACAATAATAAAAACATCAATAATAATAATAATAATAATAATAATACAATTACTGTTGAATGACCTGTAAAATATGTAATTAAGACCACACACTGCTTTGTTTAATAAGGGAGAATATTAGTATGATGTGCTTAGATCCTACACACACTAATTCATAGAATCACCTACACTCTTAGGAAAATAAGGTTCTGTATGGAACCAAATCGGGTTCAATGCTTGCTTATATATGGCACCCCTTAAGGTTCTATATAGAATAGGGATTGAAATGTGCTTTAATTAATAAGGCAAGTAAATGGGGACTTGGACACAGTGCAACTCATTATTGGCAACTCAACTGAAGTAGACACCTTATCTGCCCTTCTGCTGCTGTAGTAGTAGTAGTAGCAGTAATAGTAGTAACAGTAGTAGCCGTAGTAGCAGTAGTAGTAGTAGTAGTAGTAGTAGTAGCAGTAGTAGTAGCAGTAATAGTATAAATAGCTGTAGTAGTAATAGTAGAGGTAGTAGCAGTAGTAGCAGTAGTAGCAGTAGTAGCAGTAGTAGTAGTAGTAGTAGTAGTAGCAGTAGCAGTAATAGTATAAATAGCTGTAGTAGTAATAGTAGAGGTAGTAGCAGTAGTAGTAGTAGTTGTAATAGTACTAGCAGTAGTAGTAGTAGTAGAGGTAGTAGCAGTAGTAGTAATAGTAGTAGAGTAGTAGGGTAGAGTATAGTAGGTAGTAGCAGTAGCAGTAGTAGTAGTAGTAGTAGTAGTAGTAGTAGTAGTAGTAGTAGTAGCAGTAGTAGTAATAGTAGTAGTAGTAGTAGCCGTAGTAGTAGTAATACTAGTAGCAGTAGTAGTAGTAGTAGCAGTAGTAGCAGTAGTAGTAGTAGCAGTAGTAGTAATAGTAGTTGTAGTAGTAGCCGTAGTAGTAGTAGTAGTAATACTAGTAGCAGTAGTAGTAGGAGCAGTAGTAGCAGTAGTAGTAGTAGCAGTAGAAGTAATAGTATCAATAGCAGTAGCAGGAGTAGTAGTAGTAGTAGTAGCAGTAGTAGCGGTAGTAGTAGTAATACTAGTAGTAGTAGTAGTAGGAGCAGTAGTAGTCTCAGTAATAGTAGTAGTAGTAGTAGTAGTAGTAGTAGGAGTAGTAGTAGTAGTAGATAGCATCATCGTCATCATCATCAGGGTTTATATACTTAATACAGTTGAAGTATGAAAATGTATGCACTCACTAACTGTAAGTTGCTCTGGATAAGAGCGTCTGCTAAATGACTAAAATGTAAATGTAAATGTAAGTCAGAAGTTTACATACACCTTAGCCAAATACATTTAAACTCAGTTTTCCACAATTACTGACATTTCATTATAGTAAAAATTCCCTGTCTTAGGTCCATTAGGATCACCACTTTATTTTAAGAATATGAAATGTCAGAATAATAGTAGAGAGAATGATTTATTTCAGCTTTTATTTCATTCATCACATTACCAGTTGGTCAGAAGTTTACATACACTCAATTAGTATTTGGTAGCATTGCCTTTAAATTGTTTAACTTGGGTCAAATGTTTTGGGTAGCCTTCCACAAGCTTCCCACAATAAGTTGGGTGACTTTTGGCCCATTCCTCCTGACAGAGCTGGTGTAACTGAGTCAGGTTTGTAGGCCTCCTTGCTCGCACATGCTTTTTCAGGTCTACCCACAAATGTTCTATAGGATTGAAGACAGGGCTTTGTGATGGCCACTCCAATTCCTTGACTTTGTTTTCCTTAAGCCTTTTTGCCACAACTTTGGAAGAATGCTTGGGGTCATTGTTCATTTGGAAGACGCATTTGCGACCAAGCTTTAACTTCCTGACTGATGTCTTGAGATGTTGCTTCAATATATCCACATAGTTTTCCTTCCTCATGATGCCATCTATTTTGTGAAGTGCACCAGACCCTCCTGAAGCAAAGCACCCCCACAGCATGATGCTGCCACCCCCGTGCTTCACGGTTGGGATGGTGTTCTTCGGTTTGCAAGCCTTCCACTTTTTCCTCCAAACATTACGATGGTCATTATGGCCAAACATTTCTATTTTTGTTTCATAAGATCCAGAGGACATTTCATCCAAAAAGTACGATCTTTGTCCCCATCTGCAGTTGCAAACCGTAGTCTGGCTTTTTATATGGCGGTTCTGGAGCAGTGGCTTCTTCCTTGCTGAGCGGCCTTTCAGGTTATGTCGATATAGGACTCGTTTTACTGTGGATATAGATACTTTTCTACCTGTTTCCTCCAGCATCTGCTGTTGTTCTGGGATTGATTTGCACTTTTCGCACCAAAGTACGTTCATCTCTAGGAGACAGAACGCGTCTCCTTCCTGAGCGGTATGACGACTGCGTGGTCCCATGGTGTTTATACTTGCGTACTATTGTTTGTACAGATGAACGTGGTACCTTCAGGCGTTTGGAAATTGCTCCCAAGGATGAACCAGACTTGTGGAGGTCTACCATTTTTTTTCTGAGGTCTTGGCTGATTTCTTTTGATTTTCCCATGACGTCAAGCAAAGAGGCACTGAGTTTGAAGGTAGGCCTTGAAATACATCCACTCAAATTATGTCAATTAGCCTATCAGAAGCTTCTAAAGCCATTACATAATTTTCTGGAATTTTCCAAGCTGTTTAAAGGCACAGTCAACTTAGTGTATATAAGCTTCTGACCCACTGGAATTGTGATACAGTGACTTATAAGTGAAATAATCTGTCTGTAAACAATTGTTGGAAAAATTACTTGTGTCATGCACAAAGTAGATGTCCTAACCGACTTGCCAAAACTATAGTTTGTTGACAAGAAATGTGTGGAGTGGTTGAAAAACGAGTTTTAATGACTCCAACCTAAGTGTATGTAAACTTCTGACTTCAACTGTATATGCAGGTATGTTGAAGGTCAAAGTATAATATAGTGATGGATCAGTTGGTAGAGCGTGGTGCTTGCAAGGTTGTGGGTTCAAGTCCTGATGGGGCCATCCGTACGAAAATGTATGCCCTACTGTAAGTCGCTTTGGATATGAGCATCTGATAAATGTCATGTATATTCTACCATATTATAGCACATTGACATCATGAAAGGGAATCCCACATCGTTCTGGTTTACAAGACTGGCCTGCGTTTAATGTTTTAATCAATATCCTGACTGGTCTAATACCATTCCCCATGTAGAACACTATGGAGACCAGGAAATAAATATGGGAGACACTGATTTAGCTCTGCTTAAGGGCCATTGTTGAATAATTAGCCATGATAGTTATTTTACTGTAAATAAAATCCTTGAATAATCAATTTGGTTCCCGTTTCCAAACTGATGTGGTTATCTGATTAGCAATGAGCATCCATAAACTATGGAATTCTTCCCAGTGGATAGGAAGCCTACTGTATGTTTAAATGAATGTGCCCAGCTATAAAATTGGTACTGGAAAATAACTAGTCCAAAGCATAACTTAGTTAATTATGCCATTGATTGTCATAAAACCTCGTATTTTGAATGTGAATGAGAAAAGAGACAATATGAACATTTCAGAATGTTTTATTTCATTATTAAATAACAAATCATTAGAACAATATAAATAAATAACAAGTTAAATAATAAACTTCATAGAATATTCTTCATAAATAAATAGTTTAGCAAAATATTAGTCTCAATATCAAGTACTAGGCTTCCACAAAGTAAATCATAGTATTACAAATATCACTTCAATACTGTAGGCCTATACGTTTTGGCCATACAGCTACCAACATGTTAGGGTGCTAAGTTTGACTTTTACAGTACATCATTGCAAATGTGAACCTAAAATATAATTCAAGTTTTTCTATATTCAAGTTTGAGTCCAGTATTGTAACAGTCAGCCAGTCAGTCCTTCAAAATTGTCCTATAAGTAACATGTTCTTTCTTTCGCTTCACTCGCCATCTCCAAATACAGCAGCTACTGCAGGCTACTCTGGTGAGGCTTCAGCGAGCGCCTTGATGAATGAGCTCCCGGCCTGGCAGCGCCCGGACAGAGGCAGCTCGCTCACTTTATCCAAACCAAAGCCATTGAACCCGGCTCCATCTTAATGACAAGGCTTGAGCTGAAAAACCAGTTCAGTTCTTTCAATTCTCAGATCCCAGTCTGTGATAAACTGCCGGGTAGAGGAAGGCTACCACGTAGCTGTTCCTTGTGCTCTGCTTGTGCATGCGATTCGTCTCGGCATCCCAGCTGGGACACGTTGTATTGACCAGCTTGCTCCAGGTGTTGTCACTCTGCTCACCAACAAGTTGATCCTGACAGTTGACAGAAGAGAGCTCGTTGGAGACACTGTCTGTGAGTTGACGCGCCTGTTCCTCTGCTGACTGGAACCGTAGCTCCTTGTATGGACCAAAGGACGCCTCCTCGTGTACCTCGGCGGCAAGGCTCTCGGCGCTGATCGGTGTCTCGATGCAAGCATCCTCGGTGTAGATCTGAAGGAACAGTACCAGGCACAGAGCAACGAGCCAGCGCTTGGCAGCGCTCTTCTCGGCAGGTGGAAGGTACTTTCGGACATTGGCTGGGTACTGTACACGGGTGTTCTTCTTTCGCTGGCGCACTGGCGTATAGCGCAGTGGCTCTTGAGCTGGGATCCGCTCAAAGGTGAAGATTTCTGGCTCTTTGCTCCGCGGCATCGCCCTGTAAGCGAACTGTTCTTGATAATTATTAGTCGGAATTGACAATACCAAACTATTCGATCGTGTATACATCTTTCTTGTTTGTCGAGTTCTCTTCTCGTCTAGTTGTAGTTCGTTGAATGATTTTTCTATCGCTGGCGCACAGGTTTATATAGCCTATTCTAGTTTTAAGTTCTTTTTTTAGATACGCCCATGCCAATAGAAGCCACACCCAAAGTGGGAGCCACTGCTTTCACATTGCTCAATGGAAAAGTACGATTTTCATAATTTTCTGTGTTTTTTATAACGATGTATATGCATATAGTTCGTGTTGTTCTTTCCAGAAACATGCCATGTGTAATTATTTCAAGTCAGCAAATATTCTCAATAGCTACATGCAGATGGGGTTTTTTTTTAGGTCCCAAAAATGGTGTTCATAAAGGTTTTTAAACTTAGCTATATTTGATCAATCAAATGGACAGCAATGGATAGTAACCATGTTGATAGCAACATAATAGACTAATGATAATGACGATAACAGACTAATAACTTAACAACAACAACAACAACAATAATAAAAACATCAATAATAATAATAATAATAATACAATTACTGTTGAATGACCTGTAAAATATGTAATTAAGACCACACACTGCTTTGTTTAATAAGGGAGAATATTAGTATGATGTGCTTAGATCCTACACACACTAATCCATAGAATCACCTACACTCTTAGGAAAATAAGGTTCTGTATGGAACCAAATCGGGTTCAATGCTTGCTTATATATGGCACCCCTTAAGGTTCTATATAGAATAGGGATTGAAATGTGCTTTAATTAATAAGGCAAGTAAATGGGGACTTGGACACAGTGCAACTCAGTATTGGCAACTCAACTGAAGTAGACACCTTATCTGCCCTTCTGCTTCTGTAGTACATTACCGTGTCTCTCTTTCAGAACACAATGTGGTGGTTTTGACTCGAGAACATTTTCACTAAATGTTATTTTACTATGCATGACTGTAAGTAGCTACACCCTTCACTGTGAGTACACCCTTCACTGTGAGTACACCCTTCACTTCAATCACTCTATCTGAATAAGTACAGTGGGGGAAAAAAGTATTTAGTCAGCCACCAATTGTGCAAGTTCTCCCAACTTAAAAAGATGAGAGAGGCCTGTAATTTTCATAATAGGTACACGTCAACTATGACAGACAAATTGAGAAAAAAAATTCCAGAAAATCACATTGTAGGATTTTTAATGAATTTATTTGCAAATTATGGTGGAAAATAAGTATTTGGTCACCTACAAACAAGCAAGATTTCTGGCTCTCACAGACCTGTAACTTCTTCTTTAAGAGGCTCCTCTGTCCTCCACTCTTTACCTGTATTAATGGCACCTGTTTGAACTTGTTATCAGTATAAAAGACACCTGTCCACAACCTCAAACAGTCACACTCCAAACTCCACTATGGCCAAGACCAAAGAGCTGTCAAAGGACACCAGAAACAAAATTGTAGACCTGCACCAGGCTGGGAAGACTGAATCTGCAATAGGTAAGCAGCTTGGTTTGAAGAAATCAACTGTGGGAGCAATTATTAGGAAATGGAAGACATAGAAGACCACTGATAATCTCCCTCGATCTGGGGCTCCACGCAAGATCTCACCCCGTTGGGTCAAAATGATCACAAGAACGGTTAGCAAAAATCCCAGAACCATACGGGGGGACCTAGTGAATTACCTGCAGAGAGCTGGGACCAAAGTAACAAAGCCTACCATCAGTAACACACTACGCCGCCAGGGACTCAAATCCTGCAGTGCAAGACGTGTCCCCCTGCTTAAGCCACTACATGTCCAGGCCTGTCTGAAGTTTGCTAGAGTGCATTTGGATGATCCAGAAGAGGATTGGGAGAATGTCATATGGTCAGATGAAACCAAAATAGAACTTTTTGGTAAAAACTCAACTCGTCGTGTTTGGAGGACAAAGAATGCTGAGTTGCATCCAAAGAACACCATACCTACTGTGAAGCATGGGGGTGGAAACATCATGCTTTGGGGCTGTTTTTCTGCAAAGGGACCAGGACGACTGATCCGTGTAAAGGAAAGAATGAATGGGGCCATGTATCGTGAGATTTTGAGTGAAAACCTCCTTCCATCAGCAAGGGCATTGAAGATAAAACGTGGCTGGGTCTTTCAGCATGACAATGATCCCAAACACACCGCCCGGGCAACGAAGGAGTGGCTTCGTAAGAAGCATTTCAAGGTCCTGGAGTGGCCTAGCCAGTCTCCAGATCTCAACCCCATAGAAAATCTTTGGCGGGAGTTGAAAGTCTGTGTTGCCCAGCGACAGCTCCAAAACATCACTGCTCTAGAGGAGATCTGCATGGAGGAATGGGCCAAAATACCAGCAACAGTGTGTGAAAACCTTGTGAAGACTTACAGAAAACATTTGACCTGTGTCATTGCCAACAAAGGGTATATAACAAAGTATTGAGAAACTTTTGTTATTGACCAAATACTTATTTTCCACCATAATTTGCAAATAAATTCATCAAAAATCCTACAATGTGATTTAATGGATTTTTTTTCTTCTCATTTTGTCTGTCATAGTTGACGTGTACCTATGATAAAAATTACAGGCCTCTCTCATCTTTTTAAGTGGGAGAACTTGCACAATTGGTGGCTGACTAAATACTTTTTTCCCCCACTGTATACTAAAGTTAGTTACACCGTGCAAACATGGAGAAACAAAGTTTGTATGCAGGCACGTGTTTTTCAATCTTCAATCTATTTCTAACTGAATAACATTGTAGCTATTAAGAAGAGAAGGACCTGTTGAAAGACCAGCATGCTCTGCACCTAGAAGGACCTGTTGAAAGACCAGCATGCTCTGCACCTAGAAGGACCTGTTGAAAGACCAGCATGCTCTGCACCTAGAAGGACCTGTTGAAAGACCAGCATGCTCTGCACCTAGAAGGACCTGTTGAAAGACCAGCATGCTCTGCACCTAGAAGGACCTGTTGAAAGACCAGCATGCTCTGCACCTAGAAGGACCTGTTGAAAGACCAGCATGCTCTGCACCTAGAAGGACCTGTTGAAAGACCAGCATGCTCTGCACCTAGTTTGAGAATCCCCCATGCAGTGTAGACCTCCTTGGCTGCCCAGCCGATTTCAAGATCGTTTTGAGTGAATAACAATTTCAAAGCTGTATTGAGTAGTTCAGTACAAAGGCAAGTTGGTACATTTCAGGGGTTAGATGCTGATCTAGGGTCAGTTTTTCATTTCCCCCCTCTAATGGCAGGCTGATCTCATACAGCAGCCTAGACGTAACATAGAAAGCAAAAATCTGGGACACTCAAATTAGTATGATATGTTATGTTTGGTATGGTTAACCACAGCAAATTGGAATTCGTAACATATCATACGTATTCTAAATTCGTAACATATTGTACCTATTGCAATTCGTAACATATCATACAAATTGTAATATGTCATATGAAATACATACCAAACCAAACATAGCAAATCATACTAATTTTAGTGTCCCGGATTTTTGTTTACCATGTGGTCCTCTGTAGCTCAGCTGGTAGAGCACGGCGCTTGTAACGCCAGGGTAGCGGGTTCGATTCCCCGGGACCACCCGTACACAAAATTGTATGCACGCATGACTGTAAGTCGCTTTGGATAAAAGCGTCTGCTAAATGGCATATTATTATTATGTTACGTCTACCCCTGAGTCCAAGTTGCTAATGGTCAAGGTTAGGATTGGGGGAGGGTGAAGCTGACACTAGAAACTTCCCCCCCGGAGCTATACTTTTAACAGTAGGAGAAAAGTAGACAAGTAGTCATGGAGAGGAGGAAGTCACTGCGACAGCTAACAAAAACATAGAAAGGAAAACAAAATAACATCCAGATAAAGAAACTATTATTGAATGTAGTATTAGTGTGTTACAGTACCATTCCACGTATTACAGTAAGAGTGAGCGGAATCATTCACTCAGCGTCCTCTGACATCATCAGCTCCGTCTGAGAGGAGGTGAGAAAGTAGAAAGTGTCTGGAAGCGGCGTTTCTCACAGTCTCTGTGTCACTCCGTTTTCGGTATGAACAGCGAGAATAGGAATGCGACCCAGGGGTGAAACCAAGAGTCTGGCATTCTGGGCTGAGGTGTGAGATATTTACACTGAGACATGCCTAACGCTCACAAGGCATGTGTCAGCACTTTAAAATAACACACCACACACACGACTGTACATACACATGGTTGTGAACCCTGTCAGTCTGCCCAATTGTTGGAAAACCCAGGCTCAGACGTGAGAATTTTGGCTTTAGATTGATTCATCACTGACTGGACATTCTACTGAACATTTCTAAACATGGGAACTCAACTGCCCTTTTTCCGTCCCCTTCTATTGTTCAGTGTTCTGAAATGGTGTCCAGCCGCCCAGCCGCCATCTTACACATGGTGTTTGCTCAACCTATAATTCATGACAAAAGACCTTTACTTGTTGTCACATAGTTTCAATGTTATTGCATTTTTACAAGGCCTCCATTTCAAAGCCATTGTCAGAAACCATCCGCTTGATGTATTGTTGATTGTTAAAAAAAAAAAACTGAAATGGCCTGACAGAGAGATTGTGGCCGGCTAATGCACATGCATGGGCCAATGTGCATAGATTGGCTTTGACAATTCGAACCAATGAAATCACTGCCAGGAATCTCAGTGGTTATGGGGGGATATGGGTCATTGTTGTGAGATAATGACTGGGATTGGCGGAGTGCCATGACAACCGGGGAGTACGTGCAGTGCAGCAGTGCGCCCCCTCAGTGTGCCCACTGCAGTAAAATTCACTATGAACAGGGGCAGCACAATGCAGAAAATCTCAGCTAAACACAAATGTCCCATGCAGAAAGTCCTCTTGACAAACCTAAACAAACATAGTTGAAAATATTAAAGAGTTACAGTTATGACTTCTCTGGCTAATGCCTTCACTTCTTCTTGTATCCTGTCTCATTCGACT